TCTTTAAGACAAAATACACACAGATATTGGCATGCATATCTTACTCCATAGGGTGTTGCCACTGCCCAAGTCACTGTGTCTAGAACAGATGAGACAGAGATTGAATAAGAAATATTCAATCCCTTAAGAAATATCAAATAGATGATGGAACAGCAACATTCAAGATTTTTAAGTTATAAAACCTATACTCTTTAATGAACTGATTTTCATTTTTATCACCTTAGTTCTTGCTCACAAGAAGACAGATCTTTACAAAACACCACATCACAATGACAGAGCTTTTCCTTCTGCAGTTCTATTGTCAAATGTTTAATATTATTTTTATTTACCTTCTCCCAGTAAGATTTGCTTTATTGCCATCAGTTTTTAAAATGCCTAGACATGGATATTCTAACATGCTTTAAAAATATATATAATGTCTTCCTTTCTTCCTCCATTCCTTTCTTCCTTCCATCCATTTATTCAGAAATTGTTTACTGAGAAGGTACAGTGGGCTTAAAGTTAGGGGTGAAGAAAAACCGTCTACATGCTATCACGTAGATCACAAAACAATGTAGTAAATGTCTTCATAGAGAAGACAAGACACTCCCGTGGGGAGTTGAAGAAGTGCTCACCACTGAGGTGGCAACATTTAGAGGATGATTAAAACTCTGACGGGTGAAGAAGGGGCCAAGAGAAGAATACCGCATGTAGAAGACTAGCGTGAGCAAGGTCATGAGAGATGAGGGATCATGCTATAATGCATGGTGGGTGATATAAGGTCTTAAGTGGCAGGATTAAAGTTTGTGTGATGGAGAGTGGAAAGAGAGGAAACCTGGGCAAATAGGTGCATCTTTGGAAAATGCCTCAGATACCACCTCAAAGAGTTTGGATTTTATTTGTAGAAGGAGAAAGACCCAAAGGAGAAACCCTTAGATTTTAGGGTCATGATTTTGACAGTAATACTGGTCTAAACTTTGCTTAATGATCTTCTTTAACTTATGAAAGAGGTCAGAACTAAATGAACAGCTAACCTCACTGTCCCAGTATGGGTGTGTGCTATTCATTTTTGCATTCTCACCTACCCTCTTTAGGCTCCTGTTATCCTTCCCCCTGGCATCTCCAGCAAAGGGAGTTATCCATCCAGTTCAGGTCCAACACTTGTACAGCAATTGCAGTGTTTTCAGCTGAGTTCTCCAATTTTGGAGATAATTTGTGCAAGTTGCAATTTTGACATTTGCAAGTGTATACAATAGAACTGTTGTTTAAATGGGCTTTTGTAGTAAGTGCACAATTTGGAATCAGGCACAGTTTGCATTTTCTGCCCATTATCTGTGCTACCATCAACCCCATGACAAAGGTAGAAGTGAGTGGGCTAAAATGGTGAAAGCAAGAAGTCTACACACCCACTCCTGTTTCATTTGATTCCTGCCAAAATGTTGGTTTGAAAGAAAAGTACATTTTAAATAACAACCAACACGTACAATGGCACCATGTGCCTCACGTCATTCTAAGCACTTAATATATAGTAAAGAATTTAATCCCCACTACAACCCAAAGAGATTGTTAATTTTACTATCCCAATTTACAGAGGAAGAAACCTGGTAGTTAAGTAATGTGCTCAGGATTATCCAGTTAATGAATGAGGGAACCAGTATTTAGATCCAGGTGTTTCTGGCACCAGCGGTCATACTGTCTCTCTGTATGTCTTTTATCACACAGGCTTACTGATGCCCCAGTTCAAATTGTGTCTTCCAAAACATGGCCATCCCTATATGCAACAAAGGTGATTTCCCTTTCCTCAGTGCTTCCACTAGAACTAGGTGGCAGCATCCTTTCAGAAAGCATCAGTTTCTTACATCCATGACAGAGCTTGCCCAGAGGAAAGAGTGCTGTCTTAAGAGCTGCATTCCCAGCTGCTTTTAATCCTGGCACTGCCATTTGCTTGCTGTGTGGTCCTGTTCAAGTTCCTCTAAGTCTCTGTTTCCCCATCTGTATTGGGGCGTGGGGTGTGTGTGTGTGTGTGTGTGTGTGTGTACACTATATAATTCCAATGGATTTTTTTAGGTCAAATAGTTGATGATTCTGTAAGCTTACTAAAACAAATACAGTTGAAAATTTTCAACTTAACTTATTTATCAATTTCAAATTGAAAATACCATGTTTTCTCATAGACGATGAAAAACTTCACAAGGAAGGGAGTTAAGTGCATGCCAAGTAGATTTGAGAGAGTAATAATATCCTTAGGAGAAGTTTAATAAAGTTTTCCTGGAGGTAAACATCCTCTAGAACAGTGGTGGGCAAACTATGGCCCATAGGTTTTTACATCTTTAAAGGGTTAACATTTTCAAAAGAAAATTAATATATTATTATGAATAATATTCGCATGAGTGTGGAATTCAAATGTCAGTGTCTATAAATCAAGCTTTCTTGGAATCCAGTCACACCCACTTATTTACGCATTGTCCATGACTGCTTTCACACTACAATGGCAGAGTCTAGTAATTATGACAGAGATGGTATGTCTCCCAATGCCTCAAACATCTACTCTCTGGCCCTTTGCAGAAAAAGTTAGCTGATCGTTGCTCTAGAATCTAGATCCTTTAGGAACTTTTGATTTTAGGATTATTGTCAAGGCTATTGCTTAAAAGAACCTCATAAGTTTGTGAAAACAACTTGGCATCAGTATACTCTACTGCAAAAATTACGTATATGACATGTCTATGAAAGAAATTCATAAAGCAAAATCAGGCATTTAAAATAAATTTGTATTGTTTGTTGTGCATTAACAATTACTGTGAGAACTCTGCAGATTATTTCTACAACCAAGCTATTTCCAATTGGGGTTGGATATGTATGTAAAGTAACTTTGGTGATATACAAAGCTGTTTCATTTGTTTTGATTTGATTTCTAGTTTAAGAAATGTGAAATCCAATGCATAATAATCAAAACATCATATGTACCTCATAAACATATACATCTACTGTGTACCAAAAAAAGTAAAAATTAAAAAATAAAGTAAAAAGAAATGTGAAATTCAGTTTAACGTTAAAAAATGCATCCAGAATATATATCAGTTACTCCAATTCGGTGAATAACATAATGTTCCAGTTTGCTGTATACATTGTTGCACTGATGCTCTGGAAGAACTGATTGTTTAGGTGTAAAGTCCAAAATATTTGGATGAAGGTTAAAAATTCAGGCATAAGACCAGTACAAAGACTGACTACATGTTTTACTCTCTGATCAGATATTTGGCTTAATTGACTTTGGAACTTGACATTTAATTTCCTGGAGGTATACAAGCCCAAACTCATCCTGTACCTTTGTAATGAAATCCCTTAAATAGTAACAGATAAAAATACTTGTATATAGTTACAGAGATATAAATGGTTAACAAGTCATTTATTTGACACTCTGGAAAATGAGATGTTCTGGATGATTAAAATTATTGGATAACTGAAAGTTGTTATTCTATAGGAATCATGCAATATAAGTTATTTTGAAGTGTAATTAATATTTTCCTGACTTCTTGTAAAGATTATGTCAAGCATGCTTTAGTCTTTCTTGATAACTTATATATTATTGTGAGCATAAATTATTGTAGTATGTGTAGTATTATACTATGCTGCAATTATGTTCTCGGAGTCTATTAAGACAGATGGGAATGCTTGCCTCTATATTAAATGACTGTAGATTCTTGTGCTTTTTAAGTTCAGACTTTTCTGTGTCATTTTTGTGGGCTCCTTTGCTATTGGTTTTCACCTGTCAATTTTCTCAGTGCCTATGCCTCTAGAAATATTTCCCCTTCCTTGCCATCTGTGATTTGAAAATGAGTGGGAATCATTTGAGTCCTTTGTCAAAAGACAGTTCTCTATTAGGGAGAGCACAGAAGCCTCTGAGCAGCAAACTATATGGGCTTTGCAATAGACAGTTCTTTCTCTAAGAGGCCTTTTCTGCCTCTTGTTGAGTTTGTGGTAGTCTTCTGGAGTGGCGATCTTGCCAGAAGATAAATCTCTGGAGCAACAGAATCATACTAAATACATTGGAAATTTCACTTTTGATTAAAGCAAAGTGTTAAAATTTTTGCTTACTTTTTATACAAGATAAAGAATGCTGTGAGCCTAGTTTTCATCTACAGAGGGTCAATATTGGGCTTAATAAATAGATTACTTGGAACAATAATTGATATAACTAATCCTTGTATTTACTTGAATTCATTGTCTCCACTTTTGGAATGCCTGTATTGCGGTTTGTACCATTTATCTTCCACCCACACAGTGCCATGTGTGCCCTGAACGTTACTGTAATGATTTTGCCTTCACGTTTTGTCAGTATCCACACAGGTGTGCCACACTCCCAGCAAGGCAGCATGTGCAAATCTGAATTTCTCAAAACAGTGAATGAGTTGTGTATAATGTGACTTTCAAGTCAAATTTAAATTCCTTTAAATAACACAGTCCACTAACATTTCACATTGCTTCCTATACTTCGACAGACTTGCACTGCAGTTTTAAGAACACTTCTTATATACAAAATGAGGTACATCTGTGCACATGTGTCATAGAAAGTTGGATCTGTTTCTATAAAAGGGAAAAACCAAGCAGATCTATTAATGATGATCTTGTTTACAGTTTTACAAAAAAACATGATCATCTGTTTGAACCAACTCCTCTTTATTCTTTTAGAGGCATCATTTTCCAGCTAAGTGAGAAATTATACACTTCAATTTCACACATATGGGTCATTTGTTCTCATGTTACACACATTTCCAAATAGATACCAGTCTTACTTATAATTTTCATTAAATGGCAGTTATAATCATGTTGCAGCAGGTTTGGCTGGCAAACGTTTATCCTTCAAATAGAGCTATAGACAAAAGCCTAATTAATGGAATTGTTAACAGCAGTTTCCTATTTGCAAACATTAGTCTACTACATCTTCAGCAATAATTAACATGCCTCTTATTCTCCTTGTGTCATCTAACTAATGTTTGTGTCATATACATTCTTCCTTGTAGGAATCGCAGCATCTGACCCCAGGATTCACCTTACAAAGTAAGTGGTTTTGAAAAATCCTTCTTAGTCCAAACATCCATGTTCTCTGTTCCCTCATTTTTTCCTTTTTCCTACTTAAAATCATTAAAACGTGAAAGAAGAACAATAACAAAAAGTTGTTTTAATTGTTAAGTTTTAGCTCTCAGAAATAAGTGAGAAGATGCAAAGTTTGTCTTTCTGTACCTGGCCTTTCTCACTTAACATAATGACTTCCAGTCCCATGATATATCTAATTGGTTCCTTTTTTTTTTTTTTTTTTTTTTTTTAAATCTGTTACTTATCCCAAGAAGGTAACTTGGGGGACTGCATGTTTGGAGATCAATTTAATTCAGAATAATCATTTGACAGTAGAAACATGAACTGTAATTGTTTATATATTTTCTTTTCAGAGTGGAATGACCCAACCACCAGAGCTTCTACAAAGTCAGTATCTTTCAAATCGTGAGTAGTTGGATTTCCAAATTAGGCCTTTTTGGGGATATTTGGCAAGGAAACAGTCCCTCAATGCTGATCTAATCATGTTCTCTCCTCTGCTCCTTGAAATTATGAACCTTGACTCATAATAATATGTAGTTTGGTTGGGGTGGGGGGAGAATCAGATTTCCCATTGTCTTAGTCTGCTTGGGCTGCTATAACAAATACTATAACCAACATGGCTTGTAAACAACAGAAATTTGTTTCCCATAGTTTGGGAGCCTCAGAAGTTCGAGATCAATGCACAGCATAAAGGGCATCTTGTGAGGGACCATTTCCTCATAGAAAGCTGTTTTCTTACTCTAATCCCACATGGTAGAAGGGGTGAGGGGTCTCTCTCAGACCTCTTCTTATAAGGGCACTAATCCCATTCATGAGGGCTCAATTCTCATGTCATGATCCCCTCCCCAAATACCCATGTCCTAATACTATCACTTTGGGGGTGAGGATTTTAGCATATTAATTTTGGAGTGATACAAACAGATTATAGGACCCATAATAAGTAAGTAACAGTAAAAGTTAATGAGATCACCATTAGGCTCTCTAAGTTTGTAAATACAGACCAGGTCAATACCTGGGATACGAAAACAACTGTGATTTCAGTGAAAAAGGAAAACTCTAGATGGCTTGTTTCTCACATTTTAACTAGTTGTTCAAACGCTGCATAATATCAGCTAAAGACATTATTGTACACAATATTCAGTCACCACTGACTGGGATGGACGAGGGAATCTAAGCAGCCATGATTGGACTTGAAATGTTGAGTGGATTGCTATGGCCAGTCAGCCCAAAACCTCACTATTTGCAGGTCATCAGGCGCCTGTATATTAAAGACAAACAAGGGCATCCAGGAAGAGCTGGAATAAGATATTACATGACGGTAGGTTGAAGTTCAGAAGCCAGGGCCCTGCAATTCACTCAGCACTGTCTTCATTTTTTATTAATGCTAACTGAAGGAGGAGTTTGGAGAAACCAATTTCCTCAGATTAACTATTGTAGATTTTCTAATATCCATTTGTCCAAGAGAGTATCAAGGGAGTATTATTTCTCTCACAACTTCTTTTGTACCTAATAATAGAAAATGGAAGTCAATTTTTTGTGTAATAGGCACACACTTAGACTTTTTCAAAATGAAATAATTTATGACATTCAAGTGGCCTAATGGCACCCTTGAAGTGAATTGCTCACCTTTTGGAAGATCACGAATAATTGCATATAACAACTGGGAATGACTCCCAAATAGACTGAGGATTTGAGAAAGTAAGTGGCATTTCTACATTCTTGGTGCAGGGCAGTAGCAAAGCCCCAAAGGCCTGACCCCATCACTGGTTCATTTATTTGCTTTTCTAGACTGATCTGGGCCTTCTAATTCAAAGTTCAATTTCAACAACCAAGAATTCTCAATTTTAAGAAGCAAGAAGAAACAAGAGAAGGGGATAATAAAACCATAATCCCGATTTAAGGACCAAATTATATGAAAACACAAAAATCAAAGTCATCTTTGATGCTGTATATTTTAGCTTTTCCATTAATCACGTTTTGAACTGCCCTCCCCCTTGTTATTCTAGGAAATAATAGATCTAATCCTCCCTGCCTTCACACTTGTCTCACTTCATCCCCATTAAAGTCAGTAAGATTCACACACACACACACACACACACACACACACACACACTCACACGCGCTTAGAAAATCAACACAAGTTTCCAAACTTGGAAAATATATAAAAATATATTTTCCTGTGTAAAATTACTTACTCCTAAAGCAAGAGTATTAGGCTCCCACTGTGAAATATGCTGCTTGCTATATATACCGTAGAATGCAATGTTTTAGTAGTTTGTAACTAACAGAAATAAACTTGTCAATTGTGGTTTATAGTTAGAGGCTGCATTTCCAGAGAACAGCACTTCGCAGCACAGTAATATATAGTGTAGTCAATACAACTAAAATACTCTATAGGAAGCATCAGTAAAACTAGAAGACACTGAGTTCATTTTATGAATGAGCTCCTCTCTTTTTGTCTGTTTAATCTGAAGTCCAAGCACTGTCCATCAGATTTTAGCTGGAATAAGTTTCCTTCTTACGGTAGGGTATGGGTTTAACATAGGACAGATCAGAATTGTAATAAAGTTATTTTTATTTTTAGCTTCCAAATTATTGGCTTAGCCATTACTATCATTCTCCCACATTGAGCTACGGTGTGCTTTTTAAGCCACCTCCTAGGATTTTCCATTTGGCAGGGTAATCCTCCAGGTGATTAAGATTGTTCTGAGTGTAAACAGACTGCTAATGTCTGCACCTTGGTGAGAAGCAGCCTGTAAGTCAGCCGTGATGCAGGAAAGACCCAAGGCCAGAAAGTGTCCTAAGCACACTCCTGACACTTAGTGCAGTAAAGAGAGATTAGAGTCTTGTAAAACAGAATCCCTTAATTACTGGGACACTTCATTACTTTTCCTCATCTTGGCCTGTTTTCCCTGGTTGACAAAACGCAGATCTTCCATTGGAGTATGCATTGTTTATAAGGATTATACACATGGGCACCAGGTCTGAAAACATTGGCCACAGTGTGCCTGAGTATAAACTTGGAACTAGCCAGTCTCCCTCTTTCTTTTTGACAGTTACTGCTGTCTCTGACCCTGACCCCAACAATATGACTGGCTTTTTGGAAAACTGGGTATTTTTCTTCTCAGTGTACTCCATTGGCATACAGTGCTTTTTATCAGTGTCCATTCATGCCATGACATCCTACCTGCTTCAGCTGGAACTCTGAATGCTTACGAGGCAAGAGTACTGAATTGGGGAAGTTTGGAGACCTAGGTTTAATCCCCTCCTTTCTGTCAGTTGTGGTATTGTGGGGGAAAGCACTGACCTAGTATACAGAAGATATGAGGTTAAATCACAGGAGAATTTATTTTTATTTTAAACTATACAGACAGAGTCTGTTAAAGGAAATTAAACAAATTAATGAGTATATGTGTCTACACATGCAGCTACACCAGCAAACACTTGTCAGTGTTCAAATTTAAGCAGTTATACTTTTTAGTAATTAAATCTAGCAACATAAAAATACATTTAACTTTAATCATCAATACTTTCTGGAGGAGAAAAGTTGGTCTCCCACCCCTCAGCCTCTATGATTCTGAGCTATGTTACAGTCTTGGAACAGGGCCCACCTAGGTCTTCTAAATCAAACGGTGTTTCTAATCTCCCTCAAAAATGTCTCCGTCCCAAAAAACAGGGTGAAGCATGGGCATAAGAAGGTGAAATTGTGATTTTCGCGGCTGTGGAATTGTATGTTTACACAGTAATATCATGTCTGTCTATTTTGTCTCAAAGAGATCTGTTTATTTCAATGACAGGATTCAGGCTCTGAATGGACTCACCAGACATTGTGTTACTTTGTAGTTTTTCTTCCCCCACCCCCCGCTCCCCCGCCCCCTTCCCTCCCCTCCCCCGTTGCTCCCCGAGATAGAGTCTCGCTCTGTCCCCCAGGCTGGAGTGCAGTGGCACAATCTCGGCTCACTGCAAGCTCCGCCTCCCGGGTTCACGCCATTCTCCTGCCTCAGCCTCCTGAGTAGCTGGGACTACAGGTGCCCACCACCTGTAGTTTCTTAATGAAGTTATTAAAGAGCAATGAGGAAGAAAACATAACCAAACCGAAGAACTTGGATTTTCTTTGTTCAGTTGGATTGATTCATCCAGTGGATTATAACATCTTGCCATTTACCTGTCAGTTCAATGGCCTTCCCAAATGCATGACCTTGTTGGTCTTTTATGGGCCATCATAGATAGGAACAGATAAGATGCATTAAGTTGCCCCGAAAAGGATTTTCAGGCAGGTTCTATGAACTCAAGGGTGTACATCCAGTTAGTTCTTAACTTGTTTGTGAGTACTGTTGAGGAGATGGCAGCTCCAAATATCAAGCTCCTTTGTAAAACTTGGTTGTTAGCATTTGGACTATGTCCAGGTGAAAACCATCCAGACCCCCATTTAACTGAGCAGCTCCTGTGTTTTAAACCATGCTGTCGAGAATGCCTGGATAGTTTCCATAAAATCTTAATATAGCCATAATGCTGGGTTGTTTTTTTTTATAAAACCAGTTTGCCAACTTATGGTATTACCTATATGTTTTAAAACATCCCAACTCTGGAGTCAGAGAGTTGATGGAAGGTCTTATGGAGACAGATTGGTTGAGGCCAGCTTGAGTTTACATGTGGGTGGTTGTTATGCATGTCACATGAAGACATCCTTGATTGTAGCACTAGTTAGGAAGAAAGGGCACTACACTATCACAGGAATGACAGACACAAACAATAATTATTGTGCTGTTGAGAACAAGTGTCAGGTGCTTTTATGTACATTGCCTTATTAAACTTGCCAGGCATCGTAGAGGTGCTCCAAATTATTCACATCTTACAGATGAGCAAAGCAAAGCTAGAATAATAGTCCTTCCTCCTGAGGTGTACACAGTCCAGTAGGAAGACAGACTGGTCATGCCCACTTATTCTGAATGGATATTTTGGCTACAAACATATAGAAGAGCCCTCTGAGTCACAATGCTCCTTAGTAAGAAAGTTTGAATGCAGGCCAAGGGCCCAGTGAGTTCAAAGCTCCCTCTCATCCTGCCAAGTTGCCCTTCCTCACAGGATTTGATAAGTTCAGGGATTTAGTATGCCAAAGTTTTCCTTTTGTACCTGGACACAACATTCCTACAACCTGGTGGGATGTAGTTCCACAAGAAATTATACTGCTCTGTTTTTGATGACACAAAACTGGGTCAAAATTGTTTTATGTAACTAAAATGTCATTATTTCTAAAGTTTTCTGTAAGTGCTATGAAAATTTCATTACCAAAGAGAATAGGAAGACTGTGAAAATGTTTTCCAGATTGCTATAACCAATACAGGAATTACATTATTTTTTAGATCAATTTTGAAAATATTTTTACTAAAAATTAATTGATATTC